CATTGTAATCCCATAAACTTTACTTCTTTGTGGTATTCTTGCAATAAAAATTAAGAAGACGTTATAAGCTTTGTCTTGGCAATTACAAGTATGGCTAATGGAAATATTACCGAGCAATAGAGTTGACAGTGACATCAACTCAAATCGTACAATCAAATCGTTGAAGAAAACAGTAATAAGAATGTTTTCTTTTTTGTGGATATAGAGAGGCATATATACTATAGACTATATACCCATTTAGAGTTAAACAATACTAAAAATACACGATAATTTAATCGACGTGGTTTCTTTAGTTGCTTAATAATATTATATCTATATTTTACATACAGTTAGTCTTTTCTCTATAGAACTATTGATAAAACTAATGCTTGAATAATGAGGAAATAATTTATTTGATATCGAAACTAATTTTAACTGATATCATTTTTATTGCAAACAACTTCCTTTAAATCATTGATTGCTTCATTTATTATATACTTTATTAACAAGTCAATTTATTTATTTAACTATTGTGGCTTTGTGTCCTCTCGTGTTGTACAACGATTGCCTCGTCAAACAATAAACAATCAATTACTTATTCACAACGTGACTAGAATTTTAACTGTACAAGTATTGGAAATATTTCCAAATACTCCTTACAACCGTAAAATTATCTATCAGTTCAACGATATTTTTCACATTTCCTATCATTTTAATTTAAGCATAAAAATGCCTGTTTAATTGGCAACCCACTCAATTAGTGAACATTAACAATATTCATCAGACATGTGAGTTGGTGCAAGTGTTAAGTTCAGTGCCGGATTCAGTCCAAGGAGATGCAAACAATCTTTGTGGAAGAGTTATTCATGAAATATTTAGACAAAATATATATACAATAGCTTGCATTTTGAATGGAAGTGGTATAATTAAGACCCCAAAAAGGACTATTATCATCTATAATAGTTCAAACTATATACAAATTATAAATTATCGCCACATATGTAGATCACATCAATCGGAATAGATTTAGTCTATCTATTTAACTAATATACGAAAATTGATTCTTTACTATGGTGATGCAAGGAGCAGAAATGTGTGCTTCAATGTGGGAGTGATGCGAGTACACAGCCTAGTCTACTCAACAGCCAACCTCACTTACATATGGTGCATCCTGTTTTCGCTTACGAGACTCTGGCGACCGCGCACAGGCAGTATAACCTGAAAACACTTCATCCTCCATCCTCCAGCATGGAGGTTGATCGCAACGTCAGCAGCCTCGCATTGGAAAAAACAACCGCTACGCAACCTTCTTCAAAGAAGATGGAGGTCAAGGTTCACACTGGACTGTAGTGCTAAATCAAGCCAACCATAACACTTTTTTTATACTTAATGGTAACAGAATCGCCCGTCCGAGATATGCATCCACTCATATAGTGTGTGATGCATATTTTTTTTTAGACAAAAAAAATATTCTATTACTTCGATTTATTTTTATCCTTCTGAAAAGGATAAGAGACTTCTTTTAAATCAAATGAACGAACCAATTGCTTTGGTTTGATGATTACTTAAGGTTTCGTTATAGTTGCTGTGGATTTTGGCATTTATACGAATATTATTTTGGGTGTTTGAAACAACTAATACTGCAGCAAAGCGTAATTTATACTAACTGACAGTTCACTGACTGTTTCTCGAATTGAGCTAATTTAAATTTGACTTTCATTAAATCGGTTGTGAGCCATTTTAGAATTAATATCTCAACTGGTGCGCTATGTTGTCATGGCTGGATATTCTGGGGTTTTCGAATGTTAGAGCAATAGTAATACAAAGAAGAGGTAGTGGTAGAAATGGCCTCTAAAATAGCAGTTAAAAGTTTTAAAAATCGCGTTTCTTTTGTAACGAATAAAGTCACCATGGTGATCACTATCTACTTCCTGATTCTACGATACTTTATAAAGATGTGTTAAGTACTAAATCGATGAAACTGATTAAAAAAAAGGAATTTTAACAATTCATCCATCTATCATCTTTAAAATTCATATATTCAATTTCAATTCATAAAAGTTACAATGTTTACAATAAGTTTTCACGATTTTAATGCATTCAGCGGTTGCTAAACGATCCATTTTTTAAAACGGCAAACCTTAAACTAAGCATATGATATCTCGGGAACAGTATTGAAGTGTCAAGTTTTTTCTTCTTATTTTATTTTGTTATTGGATTTATTTATTATTACTGAATACAGTGTAATTATTTCCTATTGCAATTAATATAAAAAACAATGATATTCACAATCAATTTTAATTAATCAATTTAGGAGTTGAAGGAAGCATATATAGGAAATTTATAGAAGTTTATAGAAATAAATAATGCAAATAAAATTTGTATAGTTAATAATATTAAAATATAACTAATTCCATAAGAAAGACTTTCCTAATTATCTGATTCCGCTCTTGGATCTTCCAGTTTATTACAAATCATTGCTGCTTGCATTCTAGATGCCGTTTAACTCATAATTACCGCTTATCGAAAGAGAGGTAAGCCTCTTCTTGCAAATGTGATACAACAAACTTGATTATAGACTATGCTAATTCTTGTGGTACAAATCACAGAATACTAAGACGGACATTCAAACCGACTGAGAAGCGATAGGTGACCAGTAATTGCAGCCATGAGTCAGGATGTCATAAGACAATTTCGCATTTTTAACCACACATAATGGAGTAAGTAATAATTTGAGTGTTCAATCTAATGGAAAGATAGATATAGAAATAGAAAGAAACTAGGTATTTTTTTTGGCTTTAATTTGTTAATAGAAAGCTATTAACTTTGGAACTGATAATGACAGCTCTTTATTGATAATTTAGCTTCTTAATTTCTGTGACGCCTAAGTAATAGAAATAATAATAATAGAAAGAATGATAATAGAATAATTAAAGAAAGAGAACCGATTTTGAAGTGTCGAGAATGAAATATTATTAGCAATATAGTCTATATATTTGTATACATGTATATGTCAATGTACTTATACACGTAATTATTGCACTTTCCTGTGACAGCACAAGATTTATTAATTTGCACAATTCTACAGAATTGACAGCTTCACACAATCTACATATGCTCATAGCTCGAATCTAGGGAATAGCAAAAGGAATATAAAATTTTCAATTTACGTAAACTGAAACTGTGTAAATCAACATATACGAATTTAAATATGTGAGTCTTTGGAAATTGCATTCCACTCAGACAAATCAGCACGATTCCAATATTTATGTTATAGCCTAAAGCCTGAGGCCGACAAATTTCATGAGTAGAAGATTATATTTCCTTTCAAAGATAAATAGAAGATTGAAGCTTTGCAAAATATACAGTCAAAAACATATACAGTCAAAAAGTTTAAATACATTCTTAAGATTAGGAGTTTAAAGCATATGTACGAGTCCATAAATATTTACTTTATCACAAACATGAGAGTAAATTTTACAAAAACAAAAAATTGGTCAAGACATGGAAAATTCTGTCACTTCATGCTCTTTTGGTCATATTACTTGTGGTGTTCATTATTCTATGGTAAGACTGCTTCGAATTTACATTTATAATTCGACTAGAGGTTGTAGTCTTCTACTACCATTTTGTCATTATACGATTGCTGAATCGAAAAACATAAATATCAAAATATGGTTCCTCTAAGCTGGATTTAAGAGGTCTTCAAGTCATTGCAAATGTTTAGTATCATTGATTTCGTTCGTTCATATAATTCCAAATGCAGTAATCAAATAGATTCCATTACCATTACAATATCTGCAATGGTTGGCGACGTTGGAGAACCTATGACCATACATTTTTGTTATGTGTAAATTTCAAGATTTGAAATTAATTAGTTGTTTCTTTAAGACAGAAATTTAAAACTTCAAACCCAGTAATCAAAAACATTGTAGATTTAAAGTTGAACAAAACATGTATAATCGGAAGAACCCATCTACAAAAATTTTGTATATATCCCTCAACTATCAAAACATATCTCACCATCTAATATGCGTATATGATAAACAATAATAGACATAATATTTTTTTTTTTCAGAGCTGTAAAAAAACAACATTAAGTCTGGTTGAAACAAATTGGCATCACTTTTAAATTTAAGACTTTAAATATTTTGCGAGTAAAACCTAACTCTGAAGATTTTAAGAGCATTGTTGTTGCTTCACATGTTTTCTTTCGTACGTTGCATGAATTTTTTTGCTACTCTGAAAGAAAAAATTACGGTTAATGTAAATAACATATAGAACACAAAACACCAAATCAAAAATGCCGTTAATCAAATTATTTGTGATGGAGATGGCTCCAATATATGCAACCAAGTATATGTTGATAGAATAAAGAACATATTGAAGACGCGTATAGCTGAACTTAAGTACACCAGGAAGCATGAAAATAGTGTTAAAGCCAATTGGCGCTTGCTTTACATTGTATTATATATCAAAACAAACCCAGTCCGTTTGGAAACAGAAATCCGTAAGGCACAACTATAAGGTAGATTATAGTATACTTAGCTGTGCCCCCAAGTGTACGAAAACGCTTTCAATAAAAAGCGCGATTGTATGTTGTAGTATATTTATTCTTTTTTGCTGGGGCGTGTCCAAAATAATATTGACTAGTTTGATGTGTAATAGCAAGCGACGACAAATATTTTTGACAAAAATTCTTGATGTGTAAAACGCGCTTAATGAGAATTATTTCGTTGTTTCATATATTTATTTTAAAATTTTTGTTATATCAGTACTCTGAAGATGACTATAGATTATAATCGAAATATTGGTAAAAATTAAATATTATTCTATATTATTTAATTCAAATCATCATTAAAAACATTCATTTCAAAAAACAAAATATTACATTAAGCAGGCAATGGCATAGGAAAAATTTAACGTACATAGAATATTCAAAAAATTGATTAAAAGTTCTAAAATGTCGAACATATTTATTTTTTTGGTTAATTTTGTATTTTTAGTTTTATATTTTTTAGTTTTATATAAAATAATTTTTGACAAAATTAGGGTTTTGCTAATTTTTGGTGCTTTTGTGTCACTAAATTTCTAAAAAACCAAAATGAAGAAGAAAGTTCGCAATCAAAATTACTTACCGCAGATTACAAACGAGGGTAAATTTATTTGCCCTTTTCCGCAACCTCCAGTACAGCAAAACAGGGATGCGATATGGTACAAGGATCTCAGTCCACATGATCGTTTGTATTATCATCAAACTTTGAGCACAACGCGGTGGTCGAGATGCTTCAAACAGACGGATAAGATACCGAAGGATTCGTTAGATTTTGCTTTACTTTCCACTTACAATAACTTAACTGAAGTATTTCCAAAAAAAGTGGATACAGTGATGCAACCCGAAACTTGCGGAGAGAAGGAAACATTTCGAAAACTTCGAAATACTCGCCAGATTACTGTGAATTATAACATGAGGTTTCAGCATCCACTTATAATTGGTAAGCAATATTTAGATAAGTTGATTCTCCATGTTAAGAGATGTTGATATTCCCTAAAAAAAATAAAACGGGAAGTTTTTCACCATTTTTATAAAATTCATACGATCATTCCTTTCTATTTATATATTCATATTTATTGAGATAACTTCTTTACTATTAGGTGGAATAACTCATGAGAAGGTGGAGCCTAACAGCGTTAAACTCATGATATCCGGCCCGCACGTTCAACTAACAAATAATGGATATTCACGTCAAGAGGGTGATGGTAATCCTTTCCGTTATTAACAAAGCGAACTATTTCTTTTACATTTTGGTTAAAATATTTCTGCCACATATCTTGAACAAACATCTAAAACCATTTATTTTGGTAAAATAAATTCAGTATAACAACAGCTAACTTTTTTGTTTCCATAATTAAACATTTATCACTAAATGTTGTTGTCACATCTATTCTATAAGATCACTCCTTAGAGCTAGTTAAATAGATATATAATCAATATATACAAGCACTAACATCGGTTAACTCCAAACTACATTGACACAGTCTATAAAAGTAGAGTGAGCTCATCCAAAGAAGCTAGCATTTGGATCCGTCTAAAAAGGAACTTCAATGGTAACAAAGAGGTCTTAACCGCATGGCAGTATTGGTGAAAAAGTATGTGAGAGGCTGCAAAGAGTGTAAGTCAGACAAAGAAGACAGCAACTTTTTGTCTGTCATATAGTCTGAGAACAATTAAATTAGATCACATTATTTTATATCCAACACATGGCAAAGCAATAGTCAGTTTTCTTAATATATATAACTATTACATAGAGCCAATTTTATTAAAATAACATGTATACTTCAAATTTATAAAAATACAAGATCGGATTTGTTATTGCAATACTTATTAACTAGCTGCCGACTCTACTATACAAAAGCTACAAGTCGCTCAAAGTCATGTTCTCCGAAGGCTCTTCAAAGTGCCTTGGTACATCCGCATAAACGACATGCTGAGAGACCTTAGAATAGACCCGATCAAAAAATACATAAGGGACAGAGTCCTGAAGTTATATGCGAAAATTGACAGGCTATCCTACTTACCACTATCTTTTCTTAGAGTAATCACTCTCCGCACGGGGAGGTACGCTGATCTTAGATCAATCACTGAATAATCATGAAGCTTATAGGCAATACTTAAATTAGTCAGTGAGATGGGTGAGACTCTGGAGAAACCCCCAGCTATAACTCGGAAAGGGCTCAACATTATACTTTATATTGTAACAAAGTAACAAAGAATCTTTTATTTTTAATATTATTTGTACTGTCTATTTAGAGAAAATTTCTTCATTACCAAAACAAGTCGTTAAGAAAATTTAAAATATTAAATTAAATATAATATATAAAAATAAATAAACTAATATTAAAAATATAAAAAAATTAAATTACGTAAAGGAGTTGCTGTTGATAGTTCGTCTTTTTTGCTGGGGATGTGTTCAAAGTAATGTCGACTGTGAGCAAGCGCTGACAAAAAAGTTTGACAAACAAATCTGATTATAACACGCGCTTTATATTTGCTTAAGTTGCACAAAAAGCGTTACATTTTTGCAAAAAAAAAATTACTTTTTTTTAATTTTATTTCAAAAATTGAATATATAAAAGGCATGCATTTTATAAAGAATGAATTACGTATTTAAATAAAAATTCAGAAAACTATTTGTAGTTTTCTTCCTCAAAAATTTTTAAAATAACTATTATTAAAACTATATTAAGAGTTTTTTACAATCTCAGGAACCATATTAGATTTATGAATTTTACTATAACTCAACTGACTACAGTGAATGCGAATGTACCAGTCCACCTTCTAAGAAGAATTCAACTTCTCTTCGTTAAGAGAATTCCTGTACAGTCCGCTCAGTGTACTACCAGTCTACCTTCTCTTTGTCATAAAAATTTCTGTATAGTCCATTTGCCAAAATACGCCATCATTGAAGTATTGGTGCAATGGCACAGTGCTTTCTGAAGAGTCCAGTAAGCATAGGACTACATGAATTGTAAGTTAACTGAAACCCCAAAGACCAGCAATTCTTGTCCCAACTTATCCAATCGTTTAAGTACTAATTTTCGTTCAATATATTTCAATTGAAATGTGGCCGAGTTTTTAGCTAAGCCAAGTTTGTCATAACTACACATCGCTATCTCGTACCATTGCAGCAATTAACATTGTTGAATTCTCTTTACAGGTTAGAAGTTTCATATATAAGAACTGTAATAGCTGAAACATATTCACAACCCAATCATAAATCTAAAATAGTTTCTATCAGTTTTGTTTGAAAAAAATCTGTACGAGGGATCAATAGATCAAAATTGAGTGCATAGCAATACCAGAAGAGTAGTACATTTGCACTTTTAATGAATTATTTAAATGTAAATGTTATTCTCATATCTTGTCAACTGATACATCAATTTACACAAACAGTAGCAGCATTTCCGTAGTTCTCTTAAATCGAATTATAAAACGGGAACATGAAACAATGTAACCCAAACTGCTTAATCAACATTCCTGGGCATGCCAATCTCAATTTCAATTACATGGAAAAGCACATTTTTTGCATACATTTTATATCGAAACCGCGAAAAGCATGTCAAATGTCAATTATGATCACAACAACAACAACAACAACAACAGCAGCAATAACGGCAAGCCCCGCAAGAAGAATTGCAAAAGTATTTCACTAGAATGATTCTCAAGAGTATGCAAATTGCCTTGATCAACGAACTTTGGCCAAAACTATCATGTTACAATTACCATAATACAAAAAGGAACGACGAACATGGCCAAGACAACAAAGAAAAAAATTGGAAAAATTCCACCAACGACTGAAGGTGAAGTGCTGCCAAACAATAAATATACCAGATAACCAACAGTAAACCACTACTGACGGCTGCGCTTAACACTCTAGAATTGTCGTGCCAGTGTTGCCATACAAAGTCAAATATGCAAATAATAAAATTCAGAGCAAAATGTACAGGAAGTACAGACGCAATCCAAAAAGGCGATAAGTAGAACTGCTCAATGCATAACTGCTTCAGTATTTAGCAATTGGTTAGTATGGAAACGTAGTATGCAAGCTAACATTTGCGCCAGTGTCGCCGCTCCAGATAAGAATCTAAAACGGAAGAAGAATAGTACTAAAAAGGTAGGGACTGCATTCATAAGACATCTGTAATACTTATGTGCTAGCAGTACATCTCGGCATTTGGGTGATGTTGCTGATCCATTTCAGATAAGTGGTGCGCCATAACAAATTGCATGCAAATTTCTTAACTTAGCATGAGCAGGACAATGGGTTCAAAATAAATAAAATTGAATAAAATTTAAAAACCACCAAAACAAAGATAGAGTGAACTCAAAAAATGTTCTATACTTTTATCAAATATTGAATAGGACCACTAATGTTTTATTATTGATTTAGAAACAGTTTATTTAATCTATAGTGAATCTACTCAACATTTATAGAATAGTCTCTAGTTATCATCACGTACGATATCAAATATTAGAAGTTGTAGATATCTAACACTCAGCGTAAGCTATTACGCTACTCTATTTGCAGCTATGAGCTCTAATAGATTTATTTTAATCTCCGTTCAACACCTAGTGAAAGTGACTTGTAAAAAAGAAGAACAAGAAGAAGAAAGGTTCTGGTCTAACTTAACTAGAGTGACCATCACGCTTTGTTATGGTTATAAGCCATAAGAAATAGAAGAATAGAAGAAATAGAAAGGATTACGAGCAAAAGTCTAATGATTTTGTTAAGTTCGAGTAGGACAAACATATACATACTGTAATTCAAAGAGTATATTGAAATTTCATGGAAAATTTATTTGTTAAGTTGGTTTTTGCGTATTGGTTGCACTGCAAGTAACATATGTACGTATAACATACATACTATCAGACAGTTAACTGTCTTATGAACTATGAGATAGTGAGATAGTGAGATAGTAAGAGAACTTATATACAAATTTGGTTCAAAATGAAATTAAGAGCAACAAATTATTTAAACTGTTAAAGAAAACATTTGGGTTTGGTTCTGCTTATACCAAAACCATAAAATTTAAAATGCCAAAAAAGTGGAGAAAAAGGTCCGTCTTAATACATTTACACGCAATGCCTCAAAGTTCTAAATGTTTGATAATGATGGTAATGTAAAGAAAGCGGGAAGAAGTTTAAAGAACCTGAAAGTTTTTCAAACCAATTTTTACAATAATATTTTTACAATAATATCACTGTAATATCACGACACCCTAGAACATTTTTGAATATCTCAACTTGCAAATAGAAACTCAGCATTTCACTACTATAAAAAAATAAAGACAGAATTACAAAGCCAGCTCAACGCAAGATGATACCTAAATAGATATTTTAACAGCGTTTCTCAAACTGAATATTATGGCGGCATAAGTATAGAATATTTAGACATTCGAATAGTCACCAGACTTCGATGGTCGCTCTAAAATATTAACTTTAGATCATGTGGTTAAGTTTAGTGAGAATGTATGGGGTAGAAGGGTTCTCAAAGATGCTAATAAGCTGTAGACGGACAGCTCATGATTCTAAAAGACTCTGCGCCGTTACATAAAGTGGGGTCCATGGTGTTGGCTCATACTTCAATTTTTGGTACGGAGCTTAATAATTTTGTAGTTTAAAATCAATACTTATAAATACAGGATTACGCCGAATTTTCACATGCATGCAGTTGGGGACTTGTTTTCCAACCAATTTAGAGCTATAGTTCGGGTTCAAGTGACTAATATCAGAAATTCGATTTTATAGTAATTCAAGAATACGTATTATTTTCTATAACAATACTGAACTATAAATTGAATTGAACTATGAATTGAATTAAACTGTAGTTCTTAATTTGGGTATAGTTCATAGCGCCCTTAAATGCGATATCGCTATATAACGACCTTTTCACAACACTGTCTGTAAAAGAAATCATCTTTAATGAATTTCTTGCTTAAAACCAACATTTGTTAAAGTTTTATTTGAAAAAGATGATTGTGTAGAATAAAGAAGGTGACATATTATATTATGAATTCAAGGATGTAATTAAATATATTTTTCTTAATTCGTTTTAATTTGATATAATCATCGCAAGTACTTTGCATTGGACTTTAATTAAATTTATAAATAAAACTATAATTATTTTAGCATGAACATTAATTGTTTTATTGCTTTACCACCCATTTAAAATGACACAGTGACTCTACAAAATCTTGAATACGATGAAAACTGTTTCATTGCCGCTTTAATCACTTCCTACTCAAAAATTTAGACTAGTTAAGTGCTGGCTTTTTCAAGATTTGAAGCGTGATAATACCGTGAAACTACTCTGGCTCAGACTACTGTTGTC